CCTCACATGTTAGAAATACCGAGAGAAAAGGCTCCACAGGTCCCCTTTCATTAGGGTTTTAAGGGCAGCTGGGCTCCAAGTTTTAAGGGCTCCAAAGTTCAAATTTTGTCTTTGGTGATACAAAGAAGCTCTGGGAAAGGGTCTGATTCAGAGTGGAGTTGTGGTAGTAGCTGGGCTGTCAAATGGGCCAGTAGGCCATTGTCCTTGATGTGCCGAGGCAGAGAGAAAGTAGAGGGTATTAACAGATGACTAAGAAAAGAAATCCGGGAAGAACTGCTCTGGGAGAATATGGGGTCAGCCACTGTGCCCAGGTCCAACCCTGAACCCCAGCACCTGTGGGAGCTCTGAGCATGGGGTTCTGGCTCTCCATTAGGAAGCTTTGACCCTGCTGAGGACCCCAGACCAGAGAGGAAGGAGCACAGCCCCTCAGCCCACGGATCAGGTGCTGTAGAAAGTATTCAGCTCAGATCCTAGCAGCTCAGATGACAGATTGGTTTTCCCCAATGAGCTGTGCCAGCCCAGGGGCCTTTCCCTGCCTCCTCTGCCCTTAGACCTTCCTTGAAGGACTTGTGTGTGACCTGCACATTCTCACTCTGGTCACTTGACTGGTTTTACCTGGGAAGGAGCTGATAAAGCCTATGGTCTTGGGCTTAATTTCTTTTAAAGGGGGTGACTACAAGTACACCTCGGCTGGTCAAAGGTGAGTGTGTTTGGGAGCTGATAATGGTGTTGCTGAGCTCCATGCGGGCTTCTGAACTCCTCTGAGAAGTCGGAGCACCCGAGGGCTGTTACTGCATGCCAAGCTCTGTGTTTCTGATTGTCTCCCAGATGGCACCAGGCCTGAGGATATGCAGCGGTGAGAACCATGGAGGTGTGTTTGAAAGGGGATGGAGCAAGGTGAGTACATTCAGCACGACAGCAAGTGAGAGAGCCTGAGAGCAGCTCAGAAGATATCCCCAGATGAAGAACTGTGAGATACAGAACAGGTCCAGGATCCGGGGTCACTAATATTTCAGATATTAGCTGCTGTTTGTACAAGATGTATGACAAATGTCCAGCCCTTGCAGCAGGAAGCAGTCAGGATCAGCCAGTCCAGTCCATGAGAGGATCACTACATTTTGAGTATGATCCAAATGATGGAAAGATCCTAGTGAGAGCAGTACTGAGAAGCCTGTTTCCTCAAGCTTTTTTGCTAACTGGAGTGGTTCTGAGGAAGCGGAAGAACCATCTCCTCCCCAGCAGAGCTGGGGTCTGCTAACCCACTCATCCTCTCAGGATTTTCTTACTGCATCTCTGTTCCCTGACCTAGTATGTGGAAGGTGAATCCAAGCCATTGCTGGAAGCATGTTCTGATTGAAAGGACACCTGGAGTGCTACCAGCAAACTGCTTGCAAACGGCCTCTCATTTTGTAGGTCTGTTCTCTGCATGGTTGGGCTGTTCCTTGTGCCTTGCTGAAGTTGTGCCATATGGAGCAAATGCTTCAACGTCTGTCTGTGTGTCTGCCTGACCGTGCAACCCAAGAGCTCTTATCTCTGCAAATGATGCTTTAATTTCATTGTCCTCATGAGCTGGGGACAGTCCCTGAGAGGGGCTTTTCTCTACTTCTCCCAAGTCTATTCTTTTCCAGCTCTCCCAAAACATAAGGAGTCATCACGAGAGCCCTGGAACTGAACAGCCGCTGGAGAGAGAGAAAGTGGCTGAAATACTTGCAGGGTTATGCTCTGTGCTTCCTCCCTCTCTTGCCTGTATGTAACTCCGGGCTCTGGTTTAGCTTTGAGCAGCGCAAAGTGTGACAAGAAAGAAAAAAAAAACTGATCTCTCATCCCTTCCTTCCTCTCTCTGCCACTTAATCAGCTTGAGGCCACTGGCTCAAAAGGGAAGAAAAGGGCAATCACTGATGATCTGAAATGAGACCACAGGACTGAACATCCTTTCTTACCATGCTCCGGCTCTGCAGGGGGGAGCCCTGGCTTCTGGAAGAATGGTCAACTTTTACTCTTTTGCTGTCTTCCTAAGAGAAACTAAGACAAAACTCTTGGTCCAGATCTCTCCTCAGCACTGTGGCTTTCTTTAAAAGTTGCATGTTTGCGAGTGTCTGCGTGTATGTGCCATGCTCACGTTTGTGTGTTTGTGATTCCTGGGTGAATAACTGCACTCCCGGGGTTGTGCTATTTGTCAAGTCACACCTCATCCTCGCTGCCTGCCTTGTTTTTCTCAGGCTGACGCGCTCCTGACTAATGGCAGTCACTGCTTCTTAATCAGAAAGCAATTTAAGGATAACCTTTTTTAATTAACAGTGGAGAGAAGACTGAATAAATAAACTGTGAAGCAGCCAGCTGGCTGCTTTGTCCCTAGCTGAGGGGTCTGTCAGGTGGGGGAAAAAGGTATTTGGGGACAGCGACGGCAGGGGCTGAAGTAGAAGGTGGGAAGGGGCTAGGCTGCTACCCAGAGACGATCACTCCAGCTACTCTGCTCTGGTCGCTCACAGGGGAATCATGACTTGAACTGTCCAGGAGGGACAGCTTGCTCTACGTATTTAAACCCTGAAAAGTCCTTTTATTCCGAATTTTAAAATGGAGGCAAATAATTACCTCATTGTGAATTTATTGCCACTCTTTTTCCATGTATTAACTCTGTTTTTAATTTCATGCACTTACTAACACCTCTAAGAGTGACGCCCTTCCTCCCAGGCCAACCAAACCCGGGGCACCAGGACACCGTTGTACGTGTGGTTTTGGGAGCGTGGCCCAAAAGGATTGAGGCTGTGGGGCACCGGGGTAGGGCAAAGGCACGGTCCATCACGGGTAGAAGGGCTCCTGCGCCCTGCATGTTCGTACGAGAGAAACCGGGGCGAGAGGAGGGTGCTGCGGCGCCCGGCTCCACAGCTCGAGCCCCTGGGCCGCGCTGCCCTTCGCGCCCATAAGATGGCGCCGGGAGGAGAAGACTACATTTCCCAGCATGCCGAGCGGCCCACAAACCATCCCAGTTCGCGGCGTGCCGCCTGCGGTGGGAGTACTTTATTCTCTAGAGCGGGGCCTGCTGGGAGTTGTAGTCCGCGCGGCTGCGCGCCCTTTGGCGGGGATACCCGGCCTCTGCCATCCGGTGGGTGCGCGGGCGTTTGGGGCGGGGGGCGCTGGGACGTGGCTGCGACTCAGGCGCGCTGCAGGGGAGCTTCGGGGCGATGTGGGACATTGCGGCCTGTAGGGCGGGCGCCGGGCCCCTGAGAGGTGAGGGCGGCCCGGGCCCCTGTTAGGGG